GCTGAGAGCGCAGTGCGAAGCGACGCAAATTAATTCTAATCAATTTATAATAAGCAGCCAAACAGGTGAAGGGTAAACAAATTTGTGGCGCCGCCGGTGCGCACAGTGCAATGGCAATAAGTGAATTGCCGCTGTCACAGTCATAATTACATTATGTTAACAGGCCTGTGGAGCTGTTATAGTAAGAGAGAGAGAGAGCGAGAGAGAGAGAGAGAGAGAGAGAGAGAGAGAGAGAGAGAACATGGTCCAACTCAGTTGGGCTTACACACACGCACATTAAAGCCGCAACACATGGCTGTCAGCAATCCTGAAAGACATAAATCAAAACGGCGACACATTGTAGAAAGAGGGAGAGTGGCAACGAGGGGCATTGCTGTGTGTGTGTGTGTGTGCGGCACAATCAATAGAGTGTGTGTGCGTACTCAATAGAAGCGCATTTGCTGGCTGCCTAGATGTTTATATTTATGCCCATATATGTGTTAATTTTATTACTTTACAAACACTGTGGGCACACACTCAAACAGAGGCATACACACATACGCACGCAAAATGCATGCGTTTACATGGCGTATGCGCGATATTAATTTGCCATAATCTCGACTCGTTTATTAGCGCAAATAAATTGAAATTGTTATTGGTGGCATGGCTGCCACGCGCGCTTGTGAATTATATTCATTTCATTCCACACTCAGCCCGTGTCCCTGCATCGCCTTTGTTCTGTCATTAGTTAAAGCCGCCTGAAAAATTATTGAAACACCAAATGGCATTTTTATGCCGCCAACAAATGAAAGACAAAAAAATACAAAAAAACAGCAGTGAAATATTGCGAAACCTATCGACTGCACATACCCTAGACTACTTTGTGTTGGGTATATCAGATACCAATGAAGTGAACTATGAGTGCTACTGCAGCTTTCGCTAAACCTGGCCAAGTCACATACGATAGCCTCGAGCTAACCTCAGCTCAGCTAAGCGCTCGACCTTCTATAACTTGTGCATGGCAATTATAGTGCAGAGTATGAAACAGTCCAATAAATATTGCAAATGAAAGAAATGAATTGAATTAAATTGGTTGTTGCTTAAGCGATTTAGTGGTTGCACAAAAGAGAGAATGGAGCACAGCTGTCGCCTGGTTACAGCCGTTGCCACCTGGGTGCAATCAATCAGGCAGCGAAAGCTCTTAAACTGCATAAACGGCTCATTAGATGTGGCTGCCACAAAACGTGTCTCGTATAAAACTGTCGAGGCATGACACCTATACAGATCCGTATCTGATCTCTGAAAGGATTTACGTGCAAATGCAGGCAGCACTTAGATGGGTGTGGGCGGGTGTGCGGGTGTGCGGGTGTGTGTGTGTGTGTGTGGGTACGTTGGTGTGTACTATAACTGCGACATTGCACTTAAGTTATTTGGCGTCTAGCTAGCGAACTTGAAGCCCATAACTTATGGTTCATGTGCGGCAGCCCCAAAAAGTAGGCAATGAAATTTGTTTTATGCGCCAATTGCTGACAAACACAGCGGCCATTAGGCAGACAGCCAAATCAGACAGCCAGACAGCCACAGAGCCACACAGTCAGACAGCTAGACAGGCAGACAGTCGGACAGACAGACAATTTATTAGACAGTTAGTGAGTCGTTCATTTGATTAGAGAATAGGACGAGGAGAGCTGTGGCCGGGTCGGCTGTCAAGACCAACATTTTAATTGAAAGGTGTATCCGGGCTAAAAGGACTCGCTCGTCAGGCAGCGGCTCCATTAAAAAGAGCTCAAGAGCCTGGCTAAAGCCAGTCAGCAGCTTGCTGGAAATGCGCATAATGAGCAAATGCCACAGTAATCGATTTGAGTTAACCAATTCGGGCTAATAGCCCTGGTTACAGTTTTTGGCATTGACTCCGACTGCGGCTTAGCTCTAGCTCCTTGCGGCGGCCCTAATGCGCGCTAAGCGCATTAACAACAACATCTAACGAATGGGCCAAATCAGAAGAATGTTCTCTGCCCAGCGGCGTTGACTTTCGAAATACCCTATATTTAGCGTGAGAATTGGGAAAAGTTGGAGCTGCGCTGAAAGTATTTATGAATATTTTATAATTGTTATGGAGTAAGTTATATATCAACTTTAACAACTTAACATATCTCTGATGCCAGCTGTAGTAAGTGCATAAAACGATATTTATCGATTATCGATTTCATGGAATTTATATTTTTTTTATATATAAAAATAGTCAGACATTATTGACAAGTATAAGAAACTTAAATATATTAACTAGAAATGAAAAAAGTAAAAAATATCGATATTTATCGATATTTCGAATTAATAAGTACCATCGATGCACAATTTAAAATATCAATATTCAGACACCAAAATACCCGTTTTAGAAAGTTGTAATGGGTATGGAATATAACAAATAACAAAACTTTTAGCTGCAACTTTAGCCGATACAGCAAAGGGCCGTGGAGCTTGGCAAATAATAACTCAAGCTCGATTTAGTTTTTGTGGCATGTGAGTGTGTGTGTGTGTCTTTGTGTTTGAACCCCATGGCAAATCCCCAGACGCTGGCTATTTATTATATTTATAGAAAACACATTAACTCGGTTTTACAGTTGCGAAGGACAAGGGCTCAGGGCCAAGGAGCACAAGCATAAAAACAATCAAAATCCCAACGACAAAATGTCCCCCGAAAAACGCATTTTGCTTAAATTGTTTCATAATTGATTGATGTGCAGGCAAACACACACGCGTAAGCACACGCACAGAGAGAGAGAGACAGAGAGAGAGTGAAAAAGCGAGAGAGGGAAGACTGGTCCGCAGATACAATCAGTCTGATATATAGATACAATATGCAAGGGTCTGCGGGACAGCTTAGGCGCTCCAATGATTGTTTTTTTCGGGCTGCAATGCCTGGCCAGATCCTGGCACAGTTCCACACGGCCGGCACTGGGTAACGTATGTATCACGGATTGCTTTTTTGCTCCTATGTTGTTTTCGCTTGTGCAATTTTTGGCCCAGCTGCCAACCGCAGATCGCTTTGCTGTTCGCTGTCTGATGTCAAAATAATTTCAGTCCACACGATGGGGGCGTTTTGTTGTGGTAATGGGCGTGACCGTGCCACAGCTACAGCCACAGTTGAGTTATTTAGACGGAGACAGATTTTGGATAGCCAAAGCCAACGGCCTCGATGCCACGTAGCGTGTCCAAAATTGAGTTTTGATTTGAAACCCAATTTCCCGTAATGCGATGCGCGACAAATGACGACGTGGAGCTTTCACCGATTGTCACAATTCGATTGATTTTTGCCACTCTCTCACACACACACACACACACATATATAAATATATATATTTTATATATATAAATAAACGATACATCTAAATGCTTTGGGGTCAGCCGCTTGTCCAAGCATTGGTCACTAAGCATTCGCTGCTTTTGATGTTTCTTTGCGTTTGACTAGGTTCAGTTAATGTACCCGAAATGCTAACAGCCGCAGCTATGTGGTTGTGTGTGTGTGTGTGTGTGCTGTTACCACTTGACAGCCTTCGACGCATGTAATTGATCTGAGCTGCATAACATAGCCTAGCCACAAATACACACACACACACACAAACAAACACACACACACAAACACACACACACACACACACACACACACACACACACACACACACACAATAAGCTTAAATTTAAGCACAGTTGCTTTCTACATAAGAGTTTTGTACTGTAGCCAATAACAAAGGCAAGACATAGAGACTTGGCTATTAAGGCTGATCAAGAGTATATAAAAAATATATATATATATATATATATATATATATATATCCGATAAATAAGTTAAATCTATAATGTTTGATTCGCGAACTATATTAGCAACACTAATACAGTTAGTTCAAACGGTTTCAAATGATTCGAATTTCTCTAATGAGTATGAATCATCGAACTGTGTCGTTCACGGATCTATAGTTCGTAGTTAATCAAGCTGATTTCCTATATCATATACGTTATGCGCATGCTGTATAAACAAGTTCCATGTTGTAATTCCCTGGCTGACCCGGAACACAATGTTCATGCCTTAGCGAAGTAGGCAAGCCATAAAAAGGAAAGCCAAGCTCATTGTTAGAACGAATGAGAGCTACAGGAAGAGATAGCAAGGGGGAGGGGGGAGAGGGCGGGGGAAGAGCCTGCGTTAAATTAATGATATTTTACATACATCTTAATTGCGTGTCTCTGGCTTTTTGTTGGCGCATCCTTCGGGCCAATTGGCGGAGTCGAACTGGGCCCGAAGTGCCAGTCGAGCGCTCTGCGCTTGTCAGCCAAATTGCTTAGCCCTCGAGCTGCTTATAATTTATTGAAATCGCGGCCAGCCAGCAGCCAGAGCCAGCAATGCCCAGAGCCCCTTCAGCCAGCCGGGCTGCCGGGTTCGTGTCGCCAATTTGGGGGAAATTGCAAAATCAACGCGCTCGTAAATTGAAAAATGTTGTCAAGTGGGCAGACGCAACAAAAACAAAAACAAAACCAAAGAAAAAAAACAAACAACAAATACAAAAAAAAAAATACAGCAATAACAACAACAACAACAACGAGTTTGGGAGGCAAAATATAGACGAGGCTTGGCCTTTGCCGCCAGTTGACAGTTTGTTAATTAAAACCAGCAGCTGGGCAGGCGGCGGTCAACTGGTCATCCAGTCATCCAGTCATCCAGTCATCCACTCAGCCGGTCAGCTGTGCACTGAGGCGCTCAGTCAACGTCTCAAACGCACACACCCGGGCCCTATTGTGGGCCCTGCCCCGTAGCGCCCTCAGCGCCTGGTTGGGCCGTTGAGCCCGGAACCCAATGCGCACAGAGCTCTGCAGTTGGCAGACGGAAAACGTCAGTAGTCGAAGTGCTAATAAATTCCCCAACTGTCGATTGTGAGCTGACACTAAGAGAGGAACAATGTGCGAAAAGGCGACAAGGGGCAACGGCAGGGGAAGGGGCGGAAACCAGTTGGTCCCCAGTTGCTACTCACCTATCGTTGTAATTAATGTCAGGGAGTAGAGAAAGGCCGAGGCGTAGGTCCACTTGTGCGTCGGTGCATTCATTTGCACGCCGCCTGGCTGATAGAGCTTCGATTGGCGCACCGCACGCAGCAGCGTGTCCTGCAAGAGCAAAGCCAACGACATCACGCACACACACAGGTGGATTTAGTACGAGATTTTGGTTATTAACTGAAGTGTAAACGCACCTGGAACAATTGCACCTCCTGGGCAGCCAGCCGTGTCCAATTCTCTTTGTAAAGTATGTTCAGATCCTCGGTTATGGACCACAGTCGATCAACAGTTCTGTCATAATTGGGCATAGCCATCGATAAATTAAAGCATCACGTTAACGCCTACATGAAACTCACCTGGAACGTATCTCGGCATTGGCCAGCTCGGTGCGCGGATAGGGCTTGGAGGCGGCCACAGCCGTCTCTAATGCTGTTCCATCCTCCAGTTCGCCTTCGAGTGTCACAAATATAATCGAGCCCATGGCCGTATAGAGCAGTACCAAAAGCAAAACACCTGTTGGCAGGTAAGTAAGAGAGAAGGAGGAAGATAAACAAATGGAGAGATTAAGTTTGTAAATTAAAATAGTTAACGTAAGACTTAAGTCGGAGTTATTTATATATCTATATATGATTATACCTAAGAGACTATTACATTGAAAAAATATTTCAATGAATATTATAAATCTATAAAACTGTCTGTAGAGCAGCTAAACATTGATTGAACTACAAAGTTTGTTGAATCTTGGTCTAAGTCTGTTTAACTATTATTATTACTATTAACTATAATTGGAGTAGGCTGGAATAAACTAGATTTTAGCAGTTTTTAGAGTTGCTTACATTTTAGGGCTCTAGATATATAACTGTGAATATATAGCTACTATACAGATTGATATAGATTCTATGGAATAGATCTATACAGTAGCTATATCTGTGAATGATATAGCTACTATATAGATTGATTGATATAATTAAATTTTAATTAAAAAAAATAGAGATGAAGTTGTAGCTCTCAAAACTATAGACTTGAAAGCTTTAACTGCTTCGCCACACATCTACTGGGCGTATATATATATATATATACCAGATATCCGAGAGTTATCTCATACGTCTATATGTATATAGTACAAGGTGCAAGTCTATGCAATAACAGTAAAGTAATTTATGCTTATACGGACAGTCGGACGCCCATTCCAACTCATCTGACTCGAACGCTTAGAAAACTGAATTTAAATTTCAAATAATTTTCATTTTAGGCTATCGCAAATTGGTCAACAAAAAACCGGAACGGAACTGGCTCTTTCTAGCTGGCTACGGTTAGTGACTACGGCACGCGGTATCAACAACGATTTCAATAGGTTGCAGCTGTGACTGTGCCACTTGCGGCAGCATAAGGATTCACTCACCTGTCGCTGATATGCAATGCGATTTGGGCGCCTTTTGGCAGCCGCAGAGGCCACCGCCGCCGTCCCTTTGTTTGTCCGCCTTCGATGCGGCTGAACCGCTAGAGCCGCTGGTGCCCGCACCACTGCCGGATGAAGTGCTAGCACCGCCCTGAGCGCCATTTGTGGCGCCGCCTGCGAAGCACATACTTGAGCCGCTCTGGCGACCGATTCGTGAGCTGCTGCCAGCCACGTTTTCAGCTGTTGTGGAGATGTGGATGTTGCTGTTGTTGTTGCTGTTGCTGTTGTTACTGTTGCTGTTGCTGTTGCTGTTGCTATTGCTGCTGTTGGTCAGAATGGTGGCCAGCGGCAATGACGAATTTTTGTTCATTGTCCCACGAAACGAGGCAATCAACGTGAGCTCCGCCTCCTGCAGTCAATCAATCAGACTAAGCCCACTGTTTGGCCGAATGAGTAACTGGTTAAATGGCCAACGGATCTAATGACCACTTGACCAAATGAGCGAATGACCGAATGAGCGTATTGCAATCAAATCAAAAGCTTTGGCGCCTCATGTGGCACGTAATTTGCATCCTCTTCGACTCCTGCAGTCGCGCGGCTTTTACCGCCTTTTTTGTCGCAACACGTTATTATGTGACCGTCATAAAATGTTGTCGACAGCAGGGAAAATGTTGCAGTTGTTGTTGCTGCTGCTGCTGTTGCTGCTGTTGCCGCTGTTGTTACCGTCGTTCTTGCGCGGAAATGTTTTTGGGCAAAAATTGTCGCCGGATGCTGCAAATGCAAAATATTTTTTGTGTGAAAAAAAACTGGCGAAATGAAAATGAAAATTGCTATTCGGGGCACACACAAAAAGCACACACACACACACACCCACACACACAGAGATGACTTTGGTGTAGACAAATTGCATGGCAAATGTTGTGTAATTGACTTAGTCGCGTGCGGGTAGAAAAAGTTATTGCGAGAACTGCCTCATTAAGCCGATACATTTAATACACTGCAACGATGAGTCGTGTTAGCCAAGTTAACACAATGTCTGATTGGATTGACCAGAAAACATGTTGGCTAACTCGCCGGGCTTCTCGAAGTTGTATATCTCCAAGCAAATTCTGGCATACACTATTTATTATTGACAATTGCTGCTGGCAACTTATGCAACATTTTCATGAATGTTGTAGGAGCTGTGCTCGTGAGTCTAAGATTTTATGGCACACATTTGAAATACCTCACATGTCATATTTCGCAGCGCAATTTACGACATAAAATTCGTTTTCATTTTTGAGCTCAGCTCACAGAAACAGCAGTTGACTGACAGTTTAATATCAATTTAAATTATGACAAGAAGTGCAAGCCAGTCTGCAGTAACTTAACACCTCGTCAAGTGGCTGTTAGTTCTAGTGCCAATGTCAACTGTAACAGGCAACATTTGACAGCAGAAATGTATGCATCTAATTAAGCTCCTAAATGAGACAGAAATTCTACGAACTGCTGACAGCCAGTTAAACTTTTTAAATAGAAACAGTGAAACAATTTCAAATCTAAAAGTGTCTGTTAATTATCTAAATATCTCTGCAAATCTGATCTAATTTAAGGCATAATTTGTTGGAATATATTTGTATATATATTGTAGCTTAGTTAGCCAATATGCTCGCTGCTTATAGAGCATATGAAAGCACAGCAAATATACTGTGTTACAGTGGGCGGAGTGTGCGGCCTTCTGTGTGGTTGCTGCTGCCAGCGCGTTATCTGATAAACGTGAAGATGGCCAACATTTAAATTAAAGATTGCCCGCCAAGCCACAAAAAGTTGTCGAGTTGCCGAGTTGCCGAGCTGCCGAGCTGCCCAGCACGTGTGCGGCCATTTCCATTCATTCAATGGCACTCGAATTAGGAACGAGAGTGAACATTTTGCTGCTGCTGTGTATTTTGCTTATGACTTGCATTTTTGCTGGCTCATTCACAATGCTAATTACAAAATTCCAACGCATAATCACGTCACGTTTTCGACAGCCAAGCACACACACACACATGCACTCGCTTACCTGCAAAAAAGAGAGACAGCGGGCGAAAGACACAGGGCGAAGACAGATTTGGGGATTATTGAAATGATAGGCGCAAAGTGAATTATGGCTATAACAAGACGCATTAAATGAATCAAACAAATTAACAAACGCTTATTTTGTGCACACACAGCATTAAAAATTTATTTATTTAAACCTTTGTCTATAGCTAAGAGGCAAAGACTTTGCAGTCAATATATTCTCGAGGTGTGGAGTCTTGCATTGACTTTGGTTTTTCTTTAGATAAACTCAACTAAGATAGATGGTATATATATATATATATATATAGGTATTTATGTACAGCTCACATTATAACAATTATAAGCCGCTTAAATCGAGAATGGCAATCACTTAAAATCTACTGTCAATTAAATCGCCAAGTTAAGGCAAAAAACGGCAGAGACACAGCAAATGATGTTTGATATAAGCGCATTTATAGTGCTCAAAAGGGATTTGAACTGGGCGAGCAGCAGACAAAGCTATATACGGCCATTGATAGCCAGACAAAGGCAGCAGGTTAAAGGCCAGCCAAATGGAAAATTATGATTTATATTCACATTTGCATTTATATATATACAAAGAAGCATATTCACCAAAGCTGAATCCCTCATAAAGTGCCTACAAACTAAAATACTTCGAAAGCCTGCTTTCTGCCTGAATAATACAAGAATAACTTTCAATTGTGTGAAGCTTACCAATTGCTGGTCGTGCACTGAATGCCCTACGATCGAATGTTGCGACATAATGGGTAAATAGTGTTCTGAAACGGCTTAAAACCAATTATATAAGTCCTTATGAAACAGATGTCAATCTTATGCAGTGAACTAGAAACAGTCACTGAGGCATTGTGCTTATGAAAGGTGTGCCACATGGCATGCAACAACTAGCAATTGGACCACATTGAACCACAAGCCGAATATCTCACTATATATCTTATTATTATATATTACTATAGCCCTACTCGCAGCTAGAATGTCTAAGCTAATTCATATGTTCTATCTGGCTTGTTCATTTCATCTGCCTCTCATTGACTCCAATGCGCCTGTGAGTACAGATGTCAATCACGAGCGCTCAGTCAGAAACTGTCTTGGCAAGTTTCTTCAAAAAAATTTTGGTTATTTTCGTTGTAGCCATTATGACGCTTGAATGGCTGTCTCTACTTCAGTCAGTTAGCTGTCTGTCGCTCTGTCGCTCTCTCTCTCTCTCTCTCTCTCTCTCTCTCTGACATAATTCTCAATTCTATAAATGAGCGCCCTTCACATATGTCGATTAGTATTTTCATTTCAATTTCACATTTCAGTTGAAGCTGCTGGGTCTCAGCTTAATTCAGCCTGACTCAACTCGCTTGAGTATTTGCGATGGGCCCATATGGCTGCGCTGGCTTCATTGACTCCAGCTCTTTTGCCAGTTGCTGCTGTTTAATCTCGCCCATAGACCAGCCCAGGCCAGCCCACACAAACACGCACACCTAGCCAGACAGAGCTACCATCATGCATATTGAGTGCTCGACTCTGACATTCGATACACATTCATCGCACCTTTTTAATTGCTGACATTTATTGAACGCTTGCCGTGTGTTAAATCTACCGTAAGCACACAGCAGAAAGCACCTGAATGGTATCTGTATCTGTGTGTGTACACCAGCGTGTGTGTGTGCCTTTGACTTAAGTGCAAACTTATGCCAATTATGTGCAGCTTTTGCCTGCCACGTAGCGCTTTCTCTTTGCCACAGCCATGAAACCTTACACACACACACACACACACACTTGGCCAGCAGGTGTGGAAGAATAAGTAAGAGTCTTGTCTCTCCATGAGATGCCCTGTACACAGGGTCCATTAAATATATCCGAGTGAAATTCATTCCTTCTTTAAGAACTATGAAAACAAAGAAAGTCAGATATGCTCATGCCATACCCGCCGCCTTTATATACATATACAAATATGTGCTGAATATATATTCTCATTCTCAATGCGTACAGGGTATACGAGCGGAACGCAGAGAAAAAGCTCAAGCAGATTACACGGATCATTAGGTCAGATGAGAAAATTCATATGTTCTTTTCTTCACACTAAACACGACGTCCAGCACTTAATCAAATGCAAGGCGGAAGGGAGCAGCTGAAAGCTGAAAGCTGAAAGCAGAAAGGAATTCTTGTCGCAGCTGCAGCAAGTTCTTGCCACAGCTACGACTGCCTCGGCGTCGCCTGTCTGCCTGTCGATTTGAGTGCTCGTCGAGCGTTTGTCAATCTGTGACGGCTGGCTGGATGCCTGGCTGGCTGGCTGGCTGGCTTTTCAAAATTCCAATGGCATCGCAATATTCCTGATTGAGACGAAAGTTAGTTTTAGCACAGGACACGCAGGCGTTTAGCTGCAGCAACTATTTGAGGAATTTTGATAGCAGCTTGCAACTGATTTGCCCCACATGGCAAATCAAATAAAGCGGCTGCTGCTAACAGCATCTTCGGCGCAACACGAGCACTTTTGTCTGCCCCAACCCTGCAGCTGTAACAACATTTTGATAGCGCATTTCCAGCTGCAGCAACCAGTGTGTATTTCGTTAAGTGCTTGTTATACCCTTTCAAAAAAATAGAGCTTGGCGGTAGGGGTTGCATCAATCAATTAGCTGCTCAGCAAGCAGCAGGAGATTTCTTTGCAAAAAATATCTGCCCCTTTGAAGTTGTCAATATCTAACAAATATCTAACGGATTTCAAACGACAGACAGAGTGTCTGCCAGTTGTTACCATTCCGTTCGTTTGCCTTGGCTTTATTGATGAGCAGCTGTGGCAACAAAATTACGCATACGCACTGCCTGCCACAGCCGGAAAAAATCATTCGCATTGCAGCTGCTGTCTCGAAATCAAATCCCAGGCGCTAAATAACTAAAGTTTCTGTGAGATAGAGGGAGAGCGAGAAAGCCGTATTACGGCCCGCAGGGCCAAATGTGCTGGGAAATGTGTTGTTGCAGAGGACTGCAAAGCATCCAGGAATATCCCTTTCGCAGCTTGTGCGGTTCGTCTTTGGCAGCTTGCTGCACAATTAAACTGCAAATCACGCCTCAGATTTGGTAAAAGGCATCCAACAGCAACAACAAAGAGAAATAGCAGCAGCCACACAAAAAGCAATTGCAAAATGGCACAAAAAATTGGAGCATGGCTGAAGGCTGCAGGCTGGCTGGTCGACAGCCGAACCGGAGCCAAGCCAAGCCGAGCCAAGCCAAGACCCAATCCAAGTCAAGCCCAGCGCAGCCCAGCCCAGCCCAGCCCAATGCAGCCACCCAAAAAGCAAACCGAACGAAGCCAAACCAAACCAAACCAGACCAAACCAAACCAAACCAAACCAAGCCAGACGAAAACAAGGCTCAAAAACCCTAGAGCCAAATGGCCAAATGGGGCAAAAGAAATTGCTGGCAGATGCGGATGCAACTGCAGATGCAGTTGCCGATGCAAATGCGACTGGCAATGCGGATTAAGCAGCTCAATCACAAGAGCAAGCTCCAGTTGAAACATAGCAGCTGCTATGAGTAGATTGTGCTAACGAAGGGAGGGAGAGACAGAGGGAGAGGGAGATAGAGAAAGAGAGAGTTAGAGGAAGAGAAAAAGTGAGGGAGGGAGAGAGGGTGGGAGAGAGGCAGATAGAGAGAGAGTGAGAGAAAGAGAGAGAGAGAAAGAGAGAGAGAGAGAGAGAGAGAGAGAGAGAGAGAGAGAGAGAGAG